TGGAGCAATGATAGAGGAAGAATAAAAAGATGACGTGGACACAAAAAATAATGTATTTTTATTCATGTCAGTGAGTAGAGTACATATGTATAAAATAGATATGGAGAAGTAAACAATACACGTGTACAACCAAAATCAGTATAATATGAAATTATGATAAGTAATACATAGGCTAGTTAGTCTCCTTAATATCAGTTATTTGGTTTGACTTTAATACTCCATGGCAAATTGATGGATCTTCCTTTACCGTTAGTTTGAGTATGAGTTGATGAAATCTTAGCACAGAGAGCGCCTTGGTGAAGATATCTGCTATTTGATCCATAGGACTGATCGAAAGTAGACGAATATTATTGTTGTGAATGTGATCTTTAATAAATATGTGATTGATCTCGATGTGTTTGTTTTGGCATGAAAAACCAGATTGTTTGCCAAAGTAATGGCCGATGTGTTTTCACAATAGAGATCGGTTGGTTTTGATGTAGTTACACAAAAATCTGTAAGAATTTCTTGAAGCCATATGATATCAGAAGTAACAACATCAAGAGCTCTATATTCAAATTTTGTTGAAGATTTAGCACGATATGTTGTTTCTTGACCTTCCATGAGATGAGTGTATTACCTAGGTAGGAGTAGTACCCTGAAGTAGACTTTCTGGAGACCAGGTCACCTGCCCAGTTGGCCTCAGAGAACGATCGAAGATCCAGATTGCTCTTAGTGATTGGTATGCTAAAGAATTGAGTACCTTTGATATAGCGGAGAAGCCATTTTAGAAGAAACACATGCTGCTGAAGAGGATTATGCATGTGTTTGGAGAGGAGATTGACAGAGTAAGAAATGTCTAACCTCGTAAGGGTGAGGTATTGGAGATATCTATTAATAATTTGATCGAGGCTAGGATCAAATAGGTTGGGGTCAGCCGAGATAACGAACAGGAGCTTGGTATAGGTGGGATTGGCGATATGATTACATTAAGTGAGATTAACCAACGTAAGAATAGAGTGAGCATATTGTGGTTATGATAGGAAATACTGATTAGTGAGAGTGGTTATTTGAATGCTAAGGAATGAGTGAACGTTCCCGAGATATTTCATTGTGAACTTTGAATTAAGTTGGCTCAGAAGTTTGGCTATTGCAGACGAGTTGTTACCTGTGATTAATATGTCATCAACATACATGAGAAGGAATATTTGAGTATGAGGTCGATGAAGAATTAGAAGAGAAGGGTCAAGTTTGTTGTGATAGAAACCAAGAGAGACCAGATAGGAAGTGAATGTATTGTACCATTGATGCAGAGCTTATTTGAGCCCATAGATGGCTTTGCGTAGAAGATAAACATGATTTGGATGTGAAGAATCCTCAAATCATTTTGGTTGATTCATGTAAACAATTTCGTTGAGATTTCCATGCAAGAAAGCATTAGCCACATCAAGTTGTAGAATAGGCCAATCGTTATGTAGAGCAATGTTAAGTAAAATGCGAATGGTGGGAAGTTTCACAACCGGGCTAAAGGTTTTTATGAATCGATGCCGTATTCTTGGCGATTTCCCAAGGTTATTAGGTGAGCTTTGAGTTTGGCTATTCACCCGTCAGAATGCTACTTGATTCAATATGCCCATTTACATCTGAGTACAAATGCATTTGCTGGTGGAGGAACAAGCTCCCATGTTCCTTGTTTTTGGAGAGCAAAGAGCTCAGTAGCCATGGCTTGACACAACTCGAAAGATTTACCAGCTTGAGTATATGATGTTGGTTTAGATAAATAATTTTAGCACCATTGCTTATGGAAAAGATTGAGTCGATTAGGAGGTTTTAGAGATCCCGTTTGTCTCCTGGTTACCATCGGATAATGCTGAGGAGTCAAGGGTGTGGGGGAGTTTAGCTGCAGCAGAGGAGAAGTAGATGGAGGGGAATTACTCAGGGATGGTGGAGTGAGTTTTTGGAGAATGAGAGAGAGACACATTGTTAGTTTGGCTGATAGAGAAATGATGTTGGTGAGTCATGGAAACGGGAATGAAGAGGGATGAGTGGATGATAGGAGTGTTTGATGTAGTGGAAGACTGAGGTGTATTGATGGATTATTCAATGAACTTAAGATTTGTGGATAGACGAATTTTATGAGTGGTCGAATCTAGACATTTATATCCTTTATATGAGTTCGAATAGCCTAAGAATATGCAAGAATTGGATTTGGGCTGAAGTTTGTGGTGAAGTGGAGAAGGTGTTAAAGGAAAACATTCATAGCTGAAAGTTCAAAGATGGGAATATGATGGAGGGACTTTATGAAATAGTTGAAATGGAGAGGTATTATTTATGGTAGGAGAGGGAATTCTGTTGATAAGATAAATGGCTGTTAAAATAATATCTGGCCAGTATATGTAAGGAACAGAAGCAATATGAAGAAGATTCCTAGTAGTGTCCATTATATGCCTATGTTTGCGTTCGGCTAGATCATTTTGTTTTGGAGTATATGGACATGAACTTGATGATGAATGCCATGATGTTTGAGAAAATTAGTGAGAGTGCTGTTAATTTATTCAGCACCTCCATCAGTGCACAAAGCTTTGATATTATACGATGTTTATTCTTCATTTTGTGTTTTAAAATTAATAAAGATCGTGGCAACTTTAGATTTAGCTTGCATAGGAAATAACCAAGTAAATCTAGAAAAATCATAGACGAAAATGACATTGTACTTGTATCCTTGAGTAGATACAACAGGGGATGGACCCACACAACGAAATGAATTAAAGCAAGAGGTATCGATCGCCTATTTATAGAATTCTCAAAAACTAGTTTGTGGCCTTTAGAGGAGTTACAAGATATGCAGGAATAAGAAAGTTTGGGAATATGAAGTTGTGGGTTTCTTCTATAGATGGTGTCAAGAACTCTATGGTGAGGATGACCCATGCGATTGTGCCAGATGATAGGATCAGTTCTAATAGCAATTAAGGCAGTAGATGTAGTTTGGTGAATAGGATATAGCCTATAAGAGCAATGACCATATAGAAGAACTTGATTTGTCGTTAGATCCTTGAAAGTGTAACTGGAGGGATCAAAGATAATAGAAATGTTATTATTTTTAGTTAGTTTAGAAACAAAAAGGAGATTATACTAAATGTTAGATATATGTAAAAGATTGGATAGCTGAAGCTTACAAGTTGGTGTAAGTAGCGAACCTTCACTGATGTGAGCAATGGGAATTGAGTGGTCATCGCCGATAGTTATTTCATCCATTCCTTGGTATGGGCTAGAAACAGAGAGTTTTCCAAGAGAATTGGCTATGTGAGACGAAGCACCTGAGTCAAGATACCATCATTGGTGGGCTGGTTCGAGAAAGTAAGCAGAGCTTTGTTGGAGGAAGCATTAATCTACGGAACATAATGGGCGTTTATCCTGTGTCAACAAACAAAAGCTTAGTGGCTTTTCTTGTTATAGATTTGACAGATTATGAAAAGTGTTGAGGAGGAGCAATTTGACATAGAAGAAGGCAGAGTGATTCGACCATGGCTACATCTGTTGCAACCTCTTGAAGAGTAGAGCACAACAGAAGGATCAGGAACATTTAGACTGCAAGCAGTTTCCATGGCCAGAGTGATTTCTTCTTTAAGGAGCGAAGAATAAATATTGTCAAGACTTATGGGATGAAGCATGGTTCTAATGGATGTTTTGAATGCTTGATAGGAGTTAGGAAGACCATTCAAGATATAGAGAATAATGTCTTCAGTATCAATATGAGATCCAGTGGCGGCTGTTTGATCAACAAGTGTTTTAATCTGAGTTAGGTATTAAGTCATGTTGGAGTTTTTAATGGAGATATTGTGTAGCTCATTCATGAGCTTGATAACTTTAGACCTATTCACAGCTTGGAAACGAACCTCGAAGGCGACCCAGCTAGCTGAGGTAGATTCAAGATTTAGGATGTATGGGTGGACTGAAGGTGAAATGGTGGAATTGATTGCTGCAACAAGGTTTTGATCGGTACACAACCATTGAATGTATGCCGGATTTGGTATTGTAGATCCATTGGATTGCTGAATGCGATTGGAAGGAGGAGCAGATGGGATTTAAAGAAATGTTGAAAAACCATTGGCAGTGAATATCTTGGAGATTTGAGATATCCACAGAGGATAATTTTCAGGTGAAAGTTGAGTTGGAACAAGATTCTTAAGGTTGGAGACAACAAATTTGAGAGAAGAAGAGATGCTTTCAGTAACCGAGCCGGATTGCTCTGTTGTTTCTGTGATCTGTGATGTCTCCGAGGTAGCCATGGACCGAAGTAGTTTTACTCCCGCTCTGATACCATGAAGAAACATCGGATCTTGATTGGCTTCTTGGAGCAGTGACAGAGGAAGAAGAAAGAGATGATGTGGACACAACAAAATTATGTATTACCATTCATGTCAGTGAGTAGAGTACATAGGTATAAATAGACATGGAGAAGTAAAAAATACATGTGTACATCCGAGATTAGTCTAATATGAAATTATGATAAGTAATACACATGGTAGTTAGTCTCCTTAATATCAGTTATTTGGTGTGGCTCTAATAGTTAGATTATGTTAATTTTATTAATTTTTAATAATAATATTATCATTTTTTACGTTATCTTGTTCAACCACGATTGAATCGGTCGAATTGTGAACCTCTTCTTCCTCCGGTTCGATATCCAATACGATTTGCATAACGATGGCATTAAGGATTGAGAATTACATTAGCAGTTTAACATTTCCTTGGGTTTCAACAATCTTAAAATTTTGATCAGTTGTGACCTCAAAACTCATCAAATTCTGCTGTTTGGATGGTTCTGCCGAAACTTGAAAACCATTTTGATAAGGAATAACATTTTCGTAATTTACAGAAGGAGAGTAGCTAACCTCACCTAATCACGAAGGGTCACCTCATAATCTACTTATACAAATTAAATTCATTTTTTGTCGTTTCAACTCCCACTTCAATACTCTCCTCTCTCTCTCTCTCTCCCTTTCTCTCTGCGTATTTCTATGAAGAATCAGGCTCTTGTCTTTGCTATCTTTCTCGTTCTCCTTCCAAGAATTGTTGCAGGTGCTTCCTCTTGAGATATCTGTGACTTCAATCATTTGAGTCTTACCGACCATTTATCATTTTGTTTGGTGTCCAGTTCTCATTTCTTTTATATGTTTTGTTCATATGCTAGAAACGTAAATTTTATTTGCTAGTGTTGTTTATGTCTATGGATGATTTTTTTCTCCGAGGAGAAGAATCATCATTCTCCATGCATTTAAAATTTGAGATGGTATTTTATTTGCAATATAAAAATCATCCATTTAAGGACTCCCAAGATTGTTTGGTCATCCATCCAATGCTTTAAAATGTTCATGATGAATGATTTTGATTGCATGGGATGATGAATGATTTTATACAAACATATATATTTTATATTATTTTTTTGTTTGAAGATGATGAGGACATTTGTGGGAAGGTGGAGTGTGGGAAGGGAACCTGCAAATCTCCAGCGGCTAATATGGCAGGCTTTGTGTGCGAGTGCGACCGTGGATGGAGTCAGCTTCATTTTGGCAATCATTTTCGATTTCTCCCCTGCAACATCCCTGATTGTGAGTTTTCTTCTTTGTTTATTATACAAAAGGCTTACAATCCTTCTCTTTTCATTTTTAAATGATTTTATTCAAGTTTCGTAAAAGATAGTCTCATTTTATAACGTCACTTTGACTTATGCATCACATTTTTTTTTCTATTATTTTTCCATATCTGTAAGAAAGAAATGATGAAGAGATTTGGCTGTTGAAAAAATTTGATTCTTTATGAAGACATTTGGTAAATTTTGTTCTCATTATTGAACTGTTTTCAGGTGATTTCAACTTCTCTTGTTACAATGTCTCTTTTGATCAGTCCATGCCTCCATTTCCAAACAGCAGCAGTACAGGCAACAACATCTTTGATCGTAAGCATTATAACTTACTTTATCTCAATTAATTCTCGAACAACTCGATCATTGTAAGAACAGTACTATTTAATCTTCTGAATCATTTTCATAAATCATCTTCATAGCTTGCTTCTGGTCTTACTGTGGAGATGGCGACTGTGAGAGGATATCCCCCTTTGCTCATAAGTGCGTATGCAAAGAGGGGTTTAGTAATCTTCTTAACATCTCCAGTTTCCCATGCATCAAAGAATGTAAGCAATTACCATCCTCAAGCTTTTTCCAACCAAACAAACAAAAAAAGAAAAAGAAAAAGAAGTCCTGCATATTTACTCCCTATTTAAAGTCTGTAACATCAAACTTGTTAGTCTAAGTTATTTAAACTATTTTACAGGTGTGTTAGTGGCCGATTGCGATAATTTGGGGATTTCTTTGACAAACACAACGTCATCTTCTCCTAAGCTTGCTGCGAATCATGCAGAAGGTGAGGGTGGTTCTCCTAATTTATCTACTTTATTATATATTCACCCTAGTTAAAAAAAAAAAATAATAATCCTGGTTTCCTACATAAGTAATCGATCAGTATCTAAAAAAGCATTAAATATTAACCAATCAACATGTTTAGTGTTGACTCAAAACCTTTTCGTTTGGTACAACCCTGTTGAAATTGTGTTTTTTCAGTACTTGATAAAATAAATATTGTCATACTCTAAAATAGAGAAATATAAGCTGCTCCCTAAAAAAGATCAATTTTTAAGCGCATACAAATGGTGAGACAGCTTTTTAAAATTTAATTTTGTACTAAAAAGTTGCTTAAAGAAACAGAAAGAAAGCCATCATAAATGAGGCCAAAACGAAACCCAAATTCCACTAAGTGCATGTTATCATAAGTGTCTATAATCATGAATTAGAATGTTTTCCATCCCTTTTAAGTTTTAATAATAATAATTCAAAATTAGATTCAAATCCCGCCTATATTAAAGTTAATCGTGCCTTGACAATCACCATTTCCCAAAATAAATATTATGTTTTTGTTGGATTTGTCTCCTCAAGAGAAGTCGGTACAAATTATCAAATAAGTTGACGATATTCTTATCTTCATAAATTCATAGTTTAAAATACTCATAATCTACGTATGCAGCTCATCTCGGCCTGTTGGTTGAAAGTTTTAGCTACCAACAAAGATGTCTTGAATTTGAATATTTCGTATGTGATTTATGTATGAATTTGTCTTAATTGGTTTGAATGTCGCCCCACTTCAGAAAAAGACATTAAAAATGTACCATAAATGATACCCGATGTAATTGCTACAGGTTTAGTATTTTAAATGGTAGGAGCTTCAATTATTTATAGTTGTGGGAGATTCCATGGAAGAAGTTTTATATTTTGCATAGTTATGCAGGAAGATTTTCTCATATCTAGGGGGGGTGAGAGCCATCCCTTTCTTCACCATTAAATGTAATGAACATAAATTTATGCATTTTTTCGAGAATGATGAATATCAGCATGCAAACTGTAAAGATTTTAGTGTAAGTCAGCGTGCTTGAATAGAGATGAAAACAAAAAAAAAGATTATAGACTAAAAACTTGGAATCTGTTCTTGGAGATCGAGCACAATCATCCTGATCTAGAAAACAACCCAATACAATATTTTGGTCCATTGAGGCCTCTAAGCTATCTGAAGTCCTAAGCAAATTACTTGCTATCATATCCTTATTAGAAAAAATAAAATTTGTTAACCTGCTAACTTCGAAAAACTTGAAGTCAACAACAATATAATGTTGTATTAGTTGTTGACGGGAGCTGAAGTAGTTGAAAGTTGTTACTTCTGCTCAGCGTCAGATGATGATCTCATAGATATCAACCAAGATAGCTTCAGATCAATCCAAACACCATAAAATAACAATCAGTAGAGATGTAATGGAGTCCAATTAACGTGTGGCTGTTGCATTCAAACAGGTTCAGTTTCTGCAACAAGTCTGCTGTGGTTGTTGCTTGTTTTGGTAACAGTTCTAATGGCAAGTCAAGCTTAGTAGTTGCAATTCAGACAGCCAGAATTATTAATTTGTTTTTAAAAGCTGCTGAGAATTGAGATCAAATGGTCAGCTAAGCAGTTAACCTTAATCAGTTCTCTTTCAACTGGATTTTGAAGCATCCTTTGAGTCAATTTCTTGATGAGGAAGGAAGTAGTGGATTGCAGCATCAGCATCAGCCTTCTTCACAACTATTTGGGTTCTGCTTTATAGATCCACATTTTTTTATTATGAAATGTTAAATCTATTAATTTTATGTAATTTTTTTTCTACTTTTTCTATACATATTAATTAATGTCTTATGTTATATATTTACTCAACTAAGCCTAAGGCTATGTTAATAAGAAAGAGGTTTATTAGCATCCAATAGTTTCCTTTTTAAATAAACAAAAAATAGGGCTGATATTATTAATTATGTTAATTGACAGTTTAGCTATGTGTTTAGGCCGGTTAATTATTACTTTTCACTAACATTTTAAGTTAAAGAAAGAATAATAAATAAAGCAATATTCGACAAATAGAAGACAAAATGAAGAGCAATTGATTAAGCTTAGAATTGAAAATGTGAAGGCCGTTGAACAAAAAGATGCTAATAAAATTCAAAAATTAATGGGTAACGTTCGATGAGTCATTTTATATTCTAGATATACATACATAAGTACAAGTTAAAAAAAAAAGAAATTCGAAAATTAATTAAAACGCTTGATTTTTTTATCATTCATATTGTAAAGTCTAAATTGTGCATTATGATGAGCAAGGAAATTTTTTTTCAATTTATGATAATGAAGTAGTATTAATTAATAGAATTTTAGAAAATTAAACTTTTTATAACTAATTATATTGTACAATAATTATGGTACTAGACGATCAGTCATTATAAATTATGCTGCCATATCTTTGTTATTTCTATAAATAGATAAATATGAATTTATACTAATAGTACTGAAAGAATTTGTTTCTATAGTATGAATTTTAAATTTGATCTTAAATATTTACCTATTTTAAAACTTGATATCAAAGAGCCTTATCAGAGAAATTTTTGGTACTATAAGATCCATATTTTATAGGCCAAATAAAAAGGGAGCTTGTTCGGATGAGAGATCTTCCTTTAGATAGGGTAATTCAGTCCTTTGAGTCGAAAATTTGAACTGATGATATTGTATGATAACCATCGTACATGCCGATTAAATAGGGAGCCTTTTTTTTTTTTTTTGAATTTTAAGCTAAATGAACTAATTTTATTGTAAGATCAGTGGGTTGTACTATTTGATCAATCTTTTTTTTTTTTTTGGGAAATCCGCCGTGGGGCCTATGCGTTAATATATAGAAATATTACAAGGCCCTTAAAAGGAACCTTCAGCTCGCTAATGCTCGAGTGAGCTACAGAAAAAGTCAAAAGAAAACCTATGAGCTGATAGTTACCCATACTAAGATTTACAAAATTACTTAACATTTTAGGGCGGCTAGAAACCTGCATCCAAAGAAGGGTCTATACCAATCAAAATTACAAACCCTAATTCAAGGACCAAATAGTATATCAATCAAAATCAATGTTGAAATAGACCCAGGTAGCAAAAATATGAAACATCTTTAAAGCCAAAAACCAATTCAGTTGATATGGGTCAATAGAGCTTAGGGTGTAAGTATCTATCGTAAAATCATGAATAATACCCGAATGCCACTCAATTCTAAACCTAAGCATACTCTGACGCCTCCAATAGGTCGTGGAGATGGCGCAATAACCACAACGATTCCCATCACACCAACCTAAAAACTAGAAACACCCATCAGAAATCTCCAAAGCATCAAATACGAAAAGGAAATTCCAGCACACCCAAAGGGACCTCCCAGGAAGCACACCGAAAAGAAACCAAATATTCCAACCGCCCGAATCATAAGATGATGGATATAGCAAAGCCACCCATAAACACAAAACTAGGGAAAAAGAAGAGCAACATTTAAAGTTTAAATCAGGATACCAATAAGTCTAATCATCGCTCAAACCCAGACCATCAACACTGATAGTAATGCTAAAATCCAGGTGATCAAGATCAGAAAGAATCATCATCTCACAAGTATCAAAAATCACATTGAGGAGACTAGTTAACACATCACACCATAACACAACAAAAAAAATGATGCCAGAATACATCATATCAGAATTGTTCCACCATAAATTAAACTGACATAAAAAAAGACCAAGCCACAACTTAGCATAAACAAAAAAATATAAGGGAATAAACATAAAGCAACTACAACAAGAAGCCAACAAATAAGGAAAGAACAATACAATATAATATAATAATCAACATGCATATAATTATTAAAAATTCTCCACACTAAAATAGAATAAGAACCCGGAATACCATTTTGCCAAATGGAAGATAAAATATGAGAATTAGGTTACAAATCTCTAATAGATTGCCATACTTCTTTGAACACAAAGCTCTCATCATTAGACTTATTAAATAAAATACACTCTTTTTGATTAAGTTCTAAAGGAACTTTCAAAATGAGATCAATGACAAAATTGGGTACCATTTCAACAAGATACTTAACATTTTAGGTCCCCTCTTGAATAAAATGAGCAACTTTACAAGCACTATTAGTATGAGTATTGAGCAAATTATCTATCGAGGAAAAACCTAATCAATTATTTTGCGCCATCCCCCATTGAATGAAAATTTTTGCATCACATTTAATGAAATAAAGACTTTTGAATTGAATTAATCCTTTTTTTTTGAAAAAGTAATTTAGAGGATGCTTGCCAACATAATATTTAGAAATCATAAACTTAGAACAAATGCTCTTTTTTCGACCTTAAATTGAACCAAAGTTTGTAAGAATAACTAAGAGGCATGTCACCCAAGTTCTTAAAACCCAAATTGCCTTCATCTTGGACACCAGAACATCTATCCCAAGAAGCGCATAACATAGCAGATTTACCTTCTTTAGCTCCTCAGAGAAATTTGTTAAAAATTCTTTCAAGCCTATTGTAAATATTCACAGTCGGATATAGAATATGAAATAAATAAATAGAATTAGAACAAAAAACACTTTTAATTAACACAAATCTACCCTACCCCCAAAGGATAAAAAATTAAAAGCCCAAGTAGATATCTTTTTGTGAATTTTAGAGAAAATATCTCTAAATAAATGAGATCTCTTTTTACCCTTAAAAAATGGGTGTCGAAATACTTAAGTGGTAATTGTATATGCAAAAACCAAAGCTTGAGAGTGCTCAGATGATACTAAAAAGTGCTATGAAATCACTTGAAAGTTCGTTAGGGATGTTAAGCCCTTATGAACTGGCCCAAGGCTAAATAAAGAGAGTGGTGAATTGGTAAAGAAGAAACTTTAAGCAAAGTACAAACCAAAATCACCACAAATAAAACAAATGCGGAAGCAAATAATAAGAAAGAACACACCAGATTTATAATGGTTCAGTCAAACCTTGACCTACGTCCACTCCTTGGAGGCACCCTCCAAGTATTGCACTAAAATAAGTGTCTCTCTTTTAGCCCCCACAGCTAGGCGGAGAAGCCCTTACAAAATCACTTCCACCTTCCCCGGTGCGGTAGAGTCGTCGGGTCCTTCGACACCAAAGTGAACTTCTTCTTTGGTGAACTTCCCTCGAGACAAGCCTTGAATCCGATGGTATTAAGATGCAAGCCTGCCGGAGCAACCGTGTGGAACCCCACTCCACACTCCCTTAAGTCCCCCCTCACAGGATCTTCTCCCTCTCTCAGACTTCACCCGTTACTTACTCCCTTTCAAGCTTTCTCTTCAAGTTTTCCCCACAAGAACGAAGCTATAATGGCTGCCAAAGACACTTACAAAGTGCCTTGTCATATCTTAAATAGAAGAGCTAAAAACGAGCTCATTAATGCAAGCTGCCGACTTTATCGTCCAGGACGATAGACATATCGTCCTAGCTGATTAGTTCAAATATAAGGAAAATCATCCTGAATATTACCCTGAAATGAAGCTGGATGATGTCTAATCGTCCCGGACGATCTTGCGATCAGCCCGGACGAAATCACCATTAATTGCTTTCCAAAATTCCTAGATAAATTTTGAAAAAATTGTCGTGGATCGTCCTGGCCGATATTTTATAGTCCAGGCCAATATCCAAAAATAAGAATTTTCTAAGTAGATCTGGCGGCAGATTCTTTCTAAATTGAGCCTATCGTCCTGGCCGATACAAAATCATCCAGGATGATGTGTTTTGCATAAAGACGTCTGCTTTAATGAGGATTCCCTAATTAGGGTTTCTGCTTTTCGACAGATCGTCCCGGCCGATATAAATATCATCCAGGACGATGTTACCAAAAATAGCAAACTTTAGGGAACAGTCAGAAACTCTTATACGTTACAAAGCATTAAGAGCCACAATAAAGACAATAGACTCAAGAAAGGAAAAAGTGTACAAACTGACTCAGACCTAGTTTAGCCAATCTTGAGCTGGTTCCAAATTGCAGTCCGATCGTGTGAACCTGAAATGTCAGTACATAAGGCAGTCGTAGAGAAATAAAAATGTTTGCTATCATCAAAATCATAAACCATTGATCTGCAACAATCTCCCCCTTTTTGATGATGGCAACCAATTCAATTTGAATTTTCAAAAAAAAAAAAAACAATTTCTCCTAATCTCCCCCTTATTAGAATAACACTTTTAAAAATAGGGGAGATGAAAATATTTTTGTTATTTTTAATTTTTTGAAAACAAGATACAAACATGATAAAAGTACGAAAATTCAACAATACATTCTCCCCCTTTGACATTATCAAAAAGAGAAGAGGCACAAACAAAAACAAAACGACCAAAAGATAAAAACATTTCCTGATCTAGTGAAAAACAAATATTCTTAAAATGAGAAAGTTACCTCTATGTTTTAATCAAAAACTTAGTAGAATTGGATTGACAACGCATAGTCCAGAAAATGTTAGAAATTCATAATTTGATTATCCCAACTCAAGTTCTTTTAAAGGCTCAAAAA